CACACACACAGCGGCCTACAAAACCCCTGCACGTAATCACATTTTTACACGCGATTTTACACACGTAAAGGACGGCGTTACACCGACCAGCGGCCCACGCTGCAACCCGCACGGCCTCCCCGCCCCCTCCGCCTCGCACACGCAGCTCACAGCCCGGCCTCCCCGCCCCGCCTGCCCGCCACAGGCCCGGCCCCGCGCTCAGGGCCTACACCGACGGCCTACACACGGCTCCAGGCCTTGAGGAGAGGCGGGAACGCGGCCTCGACGCCCTCAAGGACTCACCTGACAGGCCTGGACATTTTCCCCGGCGCTTCGGGCCCGGCCCGTTGGAAGCCTCCCGCAGCCGAGGGGGGAGGGAAAGAAAAAAAAAATAAACCCCGCAACGGTCGCTCGGTGCCGCCCGTCTCCTCCCCGCAGCGCTGGGCCCGGAGCCTACAGGCCGCGCCTCACCGCCCAGCTCAGCCCCTTCAGGGCCGCAGCCTCCGGCCCCGCGCCCGCCCGCGGGAGGCTCCGCGCTTCCTGTGTGTGGGCCCGGCGCCGCCGCTCCGCCGATCCCCCCCGCAAAATGGTCGCGTTCGCACCGCTGAGAGGATGCGAGCGGGGGGCGGTGCAGCCTAGCCCGCTGGCACCACCTCCCGCTTCGCTCATTGGTTGCGGGAGGAGGCCGGCCGTCACTCATTGGTCAGTTCGAACCATCACGGCGGGAAGGCCCCGCCCACTCTCCCCGCGGGGAAGGGGGGTGAGGACTCCCCGCATGCTCAAGCTGCTCTGAGTCACAGAGCGGCTTGAAGCGGTGCCGGCAGATTCGCCGCCGGCTCCGCCGCCCCGGGTGCCGCTCCGCCCACCTATCCGCACACCTCCGCCTCAGATACCAAGCCTGAATTTTCTCCGGGGCTCAAACGGCTGTGGGACCGGCGGGGAGCGATCGGCAGATTCGCCGCGCGGCCCGGCGTGCCGTTGGAGGAAAAAGGCGGGGAAGCGCCGCGCCGCCCCGCAGCGGCCTCCAGAGCCCCGCAGCGCCGCCCCCGCACGGCCGGGCCTGCGCGGCTCCTCTCGCACTGAGGCCCCGCTACCCAGGACAGCTCATCCGCACCGCCCGGCTCTGCAGCTTAAGGCCGCGCGGTTAGAGCAGGGAGCGGCCTTTGTCATGTAAGTGTGCCCGCGGGCCGGGCCTCCCGCCGAGGGCTTTACCGAGAGGGAGCCGCAAACGCAGCCCTGCGGGGCCTCGTGGTTAGAAAAGGAGCTGCTTTAAGCTTGTGGCGAAATGAAACCTACCCACAAAGGACCGGTGGGGTTGGAAGGGAGGTGTTTGAGGTCCTCGCATCCAAGCCCTGCTAACGTGGCAGCTCCTGAGGCAGCTGTGGGCTGTATCACAGAATGGCCAGGGTTGGAAGGGACCTCGAGGATCACGAATCTCCAACCCCCTGCCTCATGCAGGGCCACCAACCTCCACATTTCATACCAGCCCAGGCTGCCCAGGGCCCCATCCAACCTGGCCTTGAACACCTCCAGGGATGGACGGGGCATCCACAGCCTCTCTGGGCAGCTGTTCCAGCACCTCACCACTCTCGTATAAAGTACTTCCCCCTGATCCAACCTCAATCTTCTCTCCCTCAGCTTAAAACCATTTCCCCTTGTCCTGCTGTCACTCACCCGTTCAAAGAGTTGATTCCCCTCCTGTTTGTAGGCTCCCTTTAGGTACTGAAAGGCTGCAATGAGGTCACCCTGCAGCCTTCTTTTCTCCAGGCTGAACAAGCCCAGCTCCCTCAGCCTGTCTTTGTAG